TATGAGATGGATTGATTCGGTGACTGGGGTAATCGGGATGGGTGTGTCAGAGGCGGTGCGGTTGGCGCAGGATAGAGCAGGGTTTAGGGTTGTTGTGCATAGGGTCGCTATGAGTCGCAAAGGACTCGACGGCACATAACAACAACAACAGCCCTGAGAACCAACAAATCTGTCTTGAACAAAATGCAACCAGAGTGCTTCTTCGAGGCAAGAATAGTAGTAATATTTTGTCTTACATACTTTGGGTAGGTTTCCAGAAAGGCCCATGCTTAATAAAGACATCATACTGCAGAAGGTAGAGGCTCAGTGAAATGGTGGATGGCCCTTAGAGAGTTCGATTAACATAGTAATTACCACAATAGGCTTGAGTATAACAGAGATCTAGAATCATGCAAGATAGAGCAAGGTTAAAATGTGTTGTTCACAGGGTTGCTATGAGTTGTAGGCAACTCCTTGGCACCTAAAACCAACAAAAATGGAGGGAGAATTTGTCAGTACTTTTTTAACCTGATTTTGAATATCTAATTGTACGTGTTTAGTTCTAGACCCTAACGCTACTCCTTAAATTTTATCCACACACTTTTTTTTTGGCTTTGGAAATACGTACTTTAACCGTGTTATGTAATGCAGTGTTCCTTGTTATCTAGCTGGGAACATTCCCCACCCCACCGACCCCTGTAATTCTCGTCCATACACTTTCACCTCGGCTCTCTTAATAAAATCAGATACAGGGTTGAGCACTAAACTTCAGCTGATCTACTGCTTCTATCTTCTTATTTATTACCAGGTTGGCCCACAAACCTCTCTGCTCTGACAAGCTGGAACAGTGGGTCTGCAATAAGTTGTGAATGCCTTCTGCCTTTGCTGATCCTGTTCTCTATCTGCTCCTGAAACAACTTTTCCACAAGGCTACCTCAGATTACTGTCTTCTATTCCCATAAAGTTGTTTTTTTTTTTTGAGTTTTGAGTCCTGAAGTGGCAACATTGGGTTTTGAAGACTATTCTCCAGGAATGTGTGGCCTGTGCACTGGAATTTAAACCCTTGAGCAATGTCCTTGATGGAACTGTCTCTACAGAAATGGATTCCACCTCTGTCCTGAATAAAAGATCTGACTTTGAGTGGTTGGTTATATTTTTTTCCTAAAGGGAAAGGGAGAAAACAAAGTGAATGGGTGGGCATAGTACCTCTTATCTCTGAAGAAGAGAAAATGGCTGAAATGATAATAGAAAAAATAAGGCTACTTTCGGAATCAATTTAATTCTACAGATTTATTTTTTTATTTGATAAGCTAGTGCAACCAGGGTCCTCTTTAGAGGCAAAGATGATGACACTTCATCTCACATGCACTGAGTATGTTGTCAAGAGGGAGAAGTGCTAAGAAAAAGGCATCATACAGGGAAAGGTGGTGGGTCAGAGAAAGAGAAAACTCTCAGCAAGATGGATTGAAACCGTGCCTATATGGGTTCAAGCATGTCAGAAATGGTGAAGAGAGCGCAAGAGAGCACAAGGTTCAGCTCTGTTGTTCACAAAGTCTTTATGAGTCATAGTTGACTCCATGGCACCAAACAACAACATATTAACAAAACGACAGCAGGAATCTAAAGTTGCCTATAAGGGGCACTAATTGCATACTATATTCCATCCCCAACTATGACACGGAAGAGATTTTCTCTGAGTTCATAAAGTTTCAGGAATAAACCATGTGTATGGAGTTATGTGTGCAAAGTTGGGTTTGGATGGTCATTGATCCCATAGAACTGATACATTTGTTTCTTACCTTTTACCCTATCTCAGCTATACTGCCAGAAAGTCATGCATTTTAGAAAATAGAAGAGACTGTCCCTATCTAATTATTAGAGCAAAATACATCCTAAGCTGGGATTGTGTTGCTCATCCCTACAGCTCTGCTCTTTATCTTACTATTATTGATGTTAGATACTGTTGAGTCAAGTATGACTCAGCGACTCCATGGAAAAGCAGATCTGAAACCTGCTCTATCCTGAGCTGTCCTCACAATCTCTGATACACTTGCGGTCACTTTGTCAACCCACCTAGCTGGGGATCTTCCTCTCTTTCAACATTCCTTAACTTTCCAAAGCATGATGACCCTCTCCAAGTAATACCCTCTCCTAGCAACATGTCCAAAGTATATGAGACGAAACTTTAACATCTTTGCCTCTAAATGGCAAAGCCTTTATCCTAAAGATACCAGAAAGTTGCATTTTTCAAGACGGATACACCCATATATGGCTCTGGTGGTCTTGTGGTAAGAAGCTGCACTGCAATCCCAAAGGCACAGTTCAAATCCAATAGCTGCTCCATGGGAGAAGTCAGCTATGGGTCAGTTCAGCCTTGATGGTACTCAACAACAACAATAGCACTCATTTATGAGGCCATGACCTTAAGGTGACTTTGTTGAGGGAAATTGATGATAAGAGATTTAGTTGTAGAGAAGGTCTTAGCCTAAAGTTCAGAGGACCAAGAATATAAAAAATTGTGAGAATGAGAAAGGTGGCATAAATAATGTATAGTGCATTGAAACAGATGAGGGAGAAGCCTGTTTAAAAGGGAGATATAATTAGGTATTATTGTCATGACAGGAATCTAGATCGAAGGCTGCATAGTGGACTGGACTTGGGGGGAGGGATTGTATAACAATGAAAGAATTTTTCTTTTACTTTTCAAAGAGAAGAACAAACTGGGGAGGGCGGGGGGCAGGGATAAAAGTGCAACAATGAATAAATGGAGATCCAAAGTCTGTAAATTTTCATTAAAATTAATAATAAAAAATATACGAGGGAAAAAATTTTAAAAAATCACAATAAAAAAATTAAAAAATGAAAAAAATTGTGTCTCATTCATGTACATATCGGGTTTCCCCCCACTCCCTTCCTCTACCCACCAACCTCTTTGACCCTGTGATTTCTCCACTCCTCTATCAGATCCCCTGCCTTTTGCCCTTCCCTCTTTGTATATCCACACCTCTCATTGGCTATCCTTATGTTTTTACAGTAATGGTTTTATACAGTATTTATTCTCATGCACTTGAGTTAGTTCACTCAACATAATGCTCCTTAGCCTCTCCAATTCTACTGTCAACAGCTTCATCTTCTTTAGATTCACAAGTAACGTCCTTGGGTACCAGCAGTCAGGAAACAAAGAGATGCATTGCGCTGGGGAAATCTTCATTTAGCACGACCACCTCTCTAAATTATTGTGAAGTAATGATGTCAGTTTTAGGACTAAGGTGTGTCTGATTCAGGTCATAGTCTTTTCGAATACTTGCTATGCATCTGAGAACTGAACAAAGAATAAGGATGACAGAAAAAGAATTGACACCTTTGAGCTGTGGTGTTGGAGGAGAGCATATGGATGGCTAAAAGAAAAAACAGATATGTCTCAGAGAGGGTGCAGCCAGAGTGCTCTTTAGAGAAAAGAATGATGAGGCTTCGCCTCACAGACTTTGGGCATGTTGCTAAGAGGGGATATTGGAGAGGGACATAAGGGTCAGCGAAGGAGAGGCAGACCCTCAACCAGGTGGATTGACATGGTGGTTGTTGCAATCGTTTCTTGTGTGTCAGGAAGTGTGATGATGACACAGTATAGGACAGGATTCAGATATTTTGTTTGTAAGGTCACTATGAGTCGTACTTGACAGCACCTAACAACAATGAACGTTGATGTACAAATCAAATCTCCATTTGTGTCTCAGTTCTGTTTTCCTTGGGGTATATTGCTAACAGTGATATAGCTGGATCATAGGAATCTCTGTGTTAAGCTTTTTGAGGACACACCAAACTGCCTTCCAGAGTGGTTGTACTATTTTACAATATCACCAACAGTGTATGAGAATTCCAGTCTCTCCACATCCTCTCAAACATTTATTGCTTATTGCCCTGCTAAACTTTGCCACTGCTGCTGGGATGAGATGGTATTTCATTGTAGTTTTAATTTACATCTCACTTATTGTCAATGATTTTGAACATTTTTTTCATGTGCAGAAAACCAAGGAACTCAGCCTTCAGTATGGATTGCATATCAATGCCAAGAAAACAAAGATTCTTACCACTGGACCTAAAGGCAGCGTCATGATGGATGGAGAGGAGATTGAAGCCATCAACAGCTTCATCTTACTTGGATCCACAGTTAATGTCCTTGGTACCAGCAGTAAGGAAATAAGGAGATGCATTGCACTGGGAAAATCTGTGAATTATTTGGGCTCTTGTGTGCCAGGAAGTGTGAGGAAGGCATGGGATAGGACATAGTTCAGATCTTTTGTTCATAGGGTTGCTTTGAGTCATACTCAACTCGAGGGCACCAAACAACAACAACTTCATGTATCTGTTGGCCATCCAAATGTTTTCCTCTGTGAAAGATCTTTCCATATCTTCTTTTTTAAACCAAATTTTTATTTTATAGTGGTTTACTTACAAAGTTTATATACATTGTTTTTCACACTGGATCTTTCCCATTTCCTTTAGGCACACCTCCCTCCACCCATCAAATTCTGTAACCCTATGATTAATCTTGCCCCTTGCCATCCTCACCCTCTGATCCCACCCTCCACTCTTGGATCTTCATAGATGTACTACAATAATGGTCCTATACAGTATTTGTCCTTGTGGGATTGAATTAGTTCACTTAGCATAATGCTTTCCAATCTCTCCCAAGTTAGGTAGTGATTTACAAAATCATTGCTCCTGCATGCTGTGTAGTATTACATCATGTGAATGTATCATAATTTCTCAATCTATTTAATTGTTGTTGGACATTTGGGCTGTTTCTATGTTCTTGTTATAGTGAGTAATGCTGCTATGAACACTGATGTACAAGTCTCTGTTTGTGCCTCAGTTCTCATTTCCTAAGGGTATCTTCCAAGCAGTGGAATAGCTGGATCATAAGTAATTTCTATATTCAGCGTTTTGAGGAAATGTGAAACTGCTTTCTAGAATGTACCATTTTACAATCCCACCAATGATGAATGCGTGAGTTCCTATCTCACCACATCCGCTCCAATGTTTATGACTTGGTGTCCTGTTAAACTTTGCCACTTCTACTGGGGTGAGATGGTATCTAATTATATCATTGTGGTATTGGTTTGTATCGCTCTTATAGCCGGTGATTTTGAACATTTCTTCATGTGTCTGTTTGCCATCCAAATATCTTCCTCTGTGAAAATTCTTTCCAAGGCTTTTGCCCATTTTGTAACTGTGTTATCAGTCTTGTGGAGGCCCTGTAGGATTATGTAATCTTTTGTTATGAGACCCTTGTCTAAAATGGTATTGCCCAATGTTTTTTTCCCAGTCAGTAGGCTTTCTTTTAACACTGTTGGAAAAAGTTTTTGGTGTGCACATGGATTTAATTTTTAGAAGGCCTCATTCACCAATTTTATCCTCTCCAAATTGTGTATTTCTGGCTGTATTTGTCAGTCTCTTTATATCATAGAATAGGCTGTCTAAGCTTGATTTCAGTTTGTCTCTGATGAATTTTATGGTTTTGAGCTTTACTCCCAGGTCTCTTATCCACTTTGAGTTCACTTTTGTGTATGGTATGTGATGTGGATCCTGTTTCAGTTTTTTTCAGGTAGCAGTTCAGTTTTGGTAGTACCATTTGTTGAAGAAGTTGCCATTTCCCCACTTGATAAATTTTATTTCCTTGTCAAATGTCAGTTGATCATAGATAGGTCCATTTCTGGGTTCTCAATTCTGTTCCATTGGTCTATGTGTCTGTCATTGTACCAGTATCACACTGTTTTGGTTATTACCACTGTGTTGTAGGTTTTAAGATCAGGGAGTGCTATGCCTCCCACTTAATTTTTGTTTTTCCAAAGTGCTTTGCTTATTCTGG